ATTTTATCAAATGAAATGTTTCATTCAACTACAACATTTTACTGTATCTTTCTGGTGGTGAACCTTATTTTTTAGCGATTTATTTATTGTCTTCATGAATAAATCTGGCCAAAAGCAAATGCATACTGTACCAATTATAAATGAAAATATACGATCACATGGAAAATTTATAAATCGTTTAATGTCAAATGAATTTTATAATTCAAAATGGATCCTTACACGACGATTGTATTTCGTCGATTCAATTTCATTAGATGCAACAAATGATGCACAAAATTTGGGTATTATTCGTTTTTTGGAAAAAATTGATATTAAAATACAAATTCAGGTATGTGAAGTTTTCAGAAATTAACAGTTTTGTCTCTTTTTTTATTTGCAAATTTGAATCATAAGAATAATTATTGAATCAAAATTTGAATTTTTGAAAGAATTTTTAAATTCTCTTAAAAATAAAAAAAGAAAAAAGAATTGCCATTGTTCTTTTTTTTAAAATTTTCTTAGATTTTTCTCCTCTTTTTTTGAAACTTTCTCTTAAATCCTTTTAAATTCTCTTCGAAAAAAAAGAAAATAACTAAAAAAAATTTTGCTATTTTTATTTAGTCTCAAAAAGATGGCCATATAATGCCACCGCACGTACGAATCCGTTATACTGAAATCGAACGAAATCCGGAAAAGCAAATTTCATTACAATTTAATATCACATATTTTATGAAAGATTCACAATTCATGCATTACATCGAAAGTGCATTATTCATTTTGGGTATTTTATCAATCATTTATGCAACGATAAGAGCATACAGGTTACTATTCATTACAATTATTGATATCAATAAATATTATTTTATTTTAGCAATTATCAAATGTAGCAAAATTAATTATTTGACTAGAAGATTTAAAAAGAAAAAGGAAAGAATAATTATTAATTTTCATTTGATTACTTGATGAAAATCAATATTTCAATTATATGATAATTAAGTGGAATAATTTATTTTTTCAAATATTTGAAAATTTTGTAAAATACTGATAATTTCAGTTGGGGAAAACGTTCCGGTAAAATGATTATCGATGGTACAACGCTTATCAAATTAAT